TGATGGCATCACGTTCCTCCTTTGATGGAACTTCTGCCAGCATGTTGCATGTCAGGGCAAGGAGAAAGATGGGCGTCAGTATGACTTGCATGCTTCAGTTAGCGAAAGGCTGAGGATTGTTAACTCGCCGTAACTTCTTTTAGCGTAAAAAGTTAGGCCCATTTGTAAAATCAAGCTTTTATATATTTTGGCTTTAGCGCTTGAAGGCCATGAATGGTTTTTTTGATTCGCCATTTATCGAAGCACACCACAATCCCACGCAGTGCATTGTTGGGTTCGAATTGTCTTAACAAATTTACTGCATCTAGAATAAGCATAAACTTGTTTTCTGAATTTGACAAGTCACCTATCATGTCAATATTGTTTTTGAAAGTGATTTGGTGAGTCTAGATGAAGTCCCTGCAATAATTCCACTCTATTAGCTGCAAACGTAATTGTACTCGCCATAAGTTCTTACATTTTTAAAACCAACAATTTTAATAAAGTTGGAATTGCTCATGGTGAATTTGAAACAGTCTGGCTATTTAGCAAATCATGTGCTCTTATCGAATGCTTACTCGTAACGCATTTATACAGAATCGATATATGGCACATTCTTAAATTTTTCCACTAAGCTAAGTGCAAAATCGTTGTCAATTTTGGCTTGCCCCAATCGCAGATAACGATGGTCTACCATTATGAGTACTTAGTTGCAAACAAACACTCTTTTTTCCAAATGCAACGTTGCCATGAGAATTTTCCTTATTTATGAAGTATCTATCAAAGTGGTCTCAGCAACTACCTCAAAATGGAAGCAGGAGTATGCAAACAGGTCGGTGCTAATTGGGTCCATTCGAAGCTGTGCAAAAGGTGATCAATTCATTTCATGATATTTTCTCACGAATTTTTACAGTTTCAGTGACTATGTGACAATTGTGTTAAAAAAGATGCCAACTTGTCCATTTCGAACCAGGCCATGCTGTTTGGCGCCGTATATGCCCTTGACCCTCAACTCAATTGTCCGCAATTCGTCACACAGCTGCACAAAACAGGTGGAATAAATCGATTTTCCATTGACGCATCGTATAATAAATTTACTCTCCTGGTCTTAGTTAAAAAAATTATATTGACCTAAATTAAATCCACAGTTTTCAAAATAGGCCCAGTGTGCCCATTTTCGATTATATTATTTAAATTTGGTACTTAAATGAAATATTTAATTTAGCACAAAATTGACAAGGGCACTATAAGTACCACAGGTTTATTTTCAGCCGCGCATGTTCAAGTAGAAACTGCTGTTTCAAGCACAAATCACGCATAGGCTGTCGAATGTGCTGCACAATGATGAAATTAAACAGCGTGTCATGGGTCACAAATCGATCTGTTTACTGCATGTGCACATTTGTTTGTATGTCACACACAAGTGAATGTTGTTCCGCAATAACACAATAATAGCACCCAGTTGTGGTGCTGAATGAAGATGATTTAGGTTCATTTTCTGATTGGATGATCTCAGGCAAAATCAACATTTTCAAGCACGAATCACACAGCGTCACGAGTCACAAGGCAGACCTGCTTACTACATGTGGCCTTTTGTTGATCTATTAGTCTAAGTCGGAATAAATTTTCTGCTAAATTTTCCGGATCAAACAATACTAATCTGGTATAAGAAAAAGACAGAAAACGTGTGCCCCTAATTGTTAAAGACCTTGTGACTTGACTGGTGAGATATGCCATTCAACGTCACCAAAAAGCACCCGCATCCATGTCAGTTAACGGGTAGACGATACCACGATTATATGCATTGATAAATTACATTTGGCGGTGCAGTTAGTCATAATACCTGATCAAATGAATATTAATGACTGACGAAATAGTGCTTGCATTAGACATTGACCAACTTTACACTACGATCAATGAAACCAAGATGGAATCTCTAGCAAAATTCGAGTGGGCTTACAGGAATTGAAGCAAAATCTTCTGCACGGCTCTATGCAAACTAAAATGCCTATGCTTCTTTCTAACATTTACGGGCAGGTTCCAAAAAAATTCAATTTCAATATTGATTTATCTTTGGATCTTCATGCAAAGTGCAATTTTCATTTCCTTATATCTTCTTAGTTGCGAATCCAATCAGTTGGGTGATTTTGGATTGTTCGAATTGCGTTGGGAAAATGCTTTCAACTTCGGAAAATATTCGAAAGGGTTTTCAATTTTGTGGGTTTCCATGTTCCAGACAAATACCATATCTGATGAAAATGTGCTACGTAATGCCAGCAATTGCGCATTTCAGTTCATGACACCACATTGATGATAAATGCACAAATCAGGAATTGTGCGTGTGCACTCGCGACAGCTCTGTGGAATAAAAACCGTCATAATAACGTCCTTATCATCTTAATTAAAGCTGAGGTGCCATGGAAAGCTTTATTGAACGTACTAGTTACTCGTGAAATCAAGTAGAAAGCTAAAGTTGTTGTCAATGTGTATTACTTGACAGTTATCAGAAGTTTTTTAAACCTAATCGAGCAAATGTGGTGAGGAGGCAATAAAATTTAAAGCAGTATTCAAGTGTATTTAATTAAAGTCAGCTAAAGAATTTGATGCTATGATTTTGAAAGCGCACCGTCATAGGTTTATGGAAGTCATAATGGCGACCACTAAAAACTTTTAAAAAAAGTAACAAATGCACACAGACCCATACTTCAGCCTTTTTAAATACAGTAAATACAAAGATTCAGGTAAAATCAACAAAGAAGTTTCAATTGAGTTAAACCAATGTTAGGAGGTAAGCTTTATTATCGTACAGAACGGTCAATTCAGGAACGCTACTTCAGAATTCAAGAAACCTCCTTTTTAAGCGACATTATTTTCCCCGTTATATAAATTGCATAGCTTCCTTTAAATGAATTATTCAGTAAAATTATATTATAAGCTGTTACGTTTGCTGGTAACGAAGAAAACATTGCTTAAATAACTGTACCAGATCCTTTTTTGACACTAGAATCGACCTTCCCACGCCAATAAAAGTAAAGGACCAGGGCTCTTGCAGAAAGATTCAATCACGTCAACCACGTGGGAGTGAGTTGTCAAAAGTTTACACTAATTCAAGTCAATAAAACAGGTGCCGGAAAATTAATTAAAATAATGATAAAAATCGGCGATGAGCCATATTGGGGGTCCTGGATCCATAACACCTAGCCCCTCTTGCAATCTTAAATGAAATGGTAGATTTCGTACTCTGAGCCTCCACTCGGTTGTCATGTGCCGGAATCATAGTGAAATTTGTTGTCCGGAATTTGCTAACTATGAGTGCCTTAGATGGCGACTTTTGATATGAAAGATCCGCGTTTGGTATTGTACGATGCACCAAAAAAAATTCTGTACACTTGCGATGAACGTTGTTCCTTCCAACCTGAATTTCATCCACGCTCGCTTCAATGCGTCGACGAGCCTTACAGCATGTCCGTTGACTGTGGGTGGTAGGGTAGGGATGGTGTGTGCAATAGCATGCTGTGGACAGAATTCCCTGAATTGTTGAGACGTGAACTGTGGTCCACTGTCTGAGACTAAGGTTTCCGGAATCCAATGGCAGCTGAAAATCTAAGACAGAGCCTGCAATGTCCTCGTTGTTATGGGGGAGGTCATTGGGACGGATCTACGGCCATTTTGAGCAGTCGTTTACCTGCAAAGGTTACGAAACTCCGTTTATCGGTCCCGCAAAGTCGTAACCAGGGCTTCTGTGTTTGTGTCCAAGGGACTGAAGGAACCTTGGGAGGGTTCTTGGCGGCATACTGGCATTGGTGGCAACTGTTGACTAGGTCTGCAATTTGCTGATCCATATTTGGCCAGTAAGCGTAGCTGCGGGCGATAGACTTCATGCGACCGATGTCGGAATGACCATAATGAAATTGACAAAGAACCCGCAAGAGCAGTGATTTGGGCAGCACAACGCATTCTCTGAATATCAGCAGCCATCTATAACTCAAAGAGAATCACGTCGCCGGAATAACTGCTGAAGATCACCTGTGGGGAGGGTTTAAACCATTTGCCTTGGACGTAACGGATGGCCTGCCGTAGTGTGTTGTCCGAGGACGGTTCCAGTTTGATGTCGAAAATCGAAACCGTCAGCGCACGAACTGATTTAGACATCTGTTGTGCGATACCTTCGTCGTTGTAGATGGCGGCGATGACGGCATCTTCCTTTGTAGTGGGCTGGTTACTGATGAGCCGTGATAGGGCGTTTACCTGCCCGAAATCTCCTGTGAAACTCTACCGGATTTCGAAGTCATAGCAAAATAGAATAAGTGCATACCTTTGTATTCGGTTCGCGAGGTGAGTTGGAATGTCTATTTTTGATTAAAAAACTGACAGCAACGGCTTCTGTTCAGTCAGCAGAGTGACTTTTCGGCCATAAATGAGTTTGTGGAAAAGGTGGGCAGCGTAAAACATAGCGAGAGCTTCCTTCTCTATCTGTCCGTAACGCTGTTCTGTCAGTGTCAGCAACCTGGATTCTTGCATTAAAGCCTTTTTCTGCGTCGTAGTGAAAGACGTGGAGGATGATGGCTCTTATCCCCTTTGGGGGAGGCGTCAGGTGCAACAGCAGTTGGTACCTTTAGACCATAAGGAATTGGCAGAAGGTCCTAACTGAGCATTGATTTAAGTTGACGGAAGACAGCCTCGCACTCGTTGAATAAAACTTAAGGTGCGTCCTTTCCAAGCAAGTAATTCAGTGGTGGTGGCACATTGTGCATCGACGGTAGGAAAGTCGAGTAATAACTCATTAATACCAAGAAGGAGTGCAGTTAGATAACATCTTTGGGAATCGGCACTTGTTGAATGGATCAAATATTCTTAGTATGCGGATGCCGGCCAGAGACGTCAAATAAAAAACTCACATGCGTGACAGAAGTCTGAAAAAAACTCGCATTTGTCTTAGCGAAGTCTGAGTCCGTTATCCTGAATCCGTTGAATGACTTATTCGATCCGCTTGCGTAACTCATCTCGCGAACTAGCTACAATTAATAGGTCGTCGAGGTATGCTGCCACTCCAGGAATGCCGGCCGGAATGGTGTCCAGAAATTGCTAAAAATATCAGGAGCCATCTTGACACCGAAGGATAGGCGGTTGTACTGGAATAAACCGCGATTGATATTGATGGTCAGCAGTAAGCATCGGCCAGATCGAGCTTCGCGAAGCATCTTCCGCCACTCTGAATTGTTAATAGGTCCAGTCGAAAAGTCTGTGCTTATCCGAATTGAACCACCGGCCTTCTTTACCACAACGATTGGGGCCGCCCAGGCTGAGTATGATATCGGGGATAGGCCGCCTTCGTGTTCAAGACGTTCTAACTCAGCGTCAATCAGCGGCACCGATGCGCATGGGATAGGCTTTTTTGGACAAAAGATCGGTTTGGCGTTTGGTATAAGGCGAAGGGTAACCTGTGGCGTAGAACAGTGTTCAACCCTTTGAATGACTTTTGTAGCGCACTTTAAGACACTAAACTGCTGGAAATAGTACATTTCGACAAATTTAATCGTCTATTCATTAACTTGTGATGGAATTAACCAACATTTTCGTCCACATTTCCTCAAAATACATCCTTACGTATTATTAAACATCAGTGTCAAGATTAGAGATTTTACAGGTGATAATTTAGTTTTCAGATGATAAGAAATAAAGTTGTAAGTCTGCAAGTGTATAGCAATTGTTTGTGGACTTTAGCCTGTCTGGCAAGAGATTAAGATTTAAGTCAATCCAAGTCACCACACCAAATTAAAATATCAATTACCAATTCTACCGTATTTTCTCTTACATTCGAGGATGATTTGGACTGCTACTACCAAAGTCGCATGCGTTTTAGGCGTATGTATTAACAGGAGCTATTACAATAGACGTTATAATTTGTTTCTTTGTGTCTATACACCAAACTGAGTAAAACTACCTAATTCTACCAACATTTTTTTATTGTTTTAGTGTCAGAAAGTGTCCTCAGGGGTACAAATGTTGCACAAAATAATGTAGCAAGGAGTCATTCGTCGTTAAGCAACTTGATTCTCCCAAATGCATTCAGCGCTTCACTGCTAAATGCCTCAGGCTTTTTATCTGGCTTGTTCAAAGAAAAATCTGAACTGAACAAAATATATTTGGTACGCTGACTGCTAGGAATCCTTTTGTTTCGTCTTACAGTTCGCTAATTTTGATTTATAAAATGCAAGGTATGCTATTTTACCTTTTTAAACACCTGTATGCGCATTGATACAAACCAGTGGAAACATAAAACTTGATAACCACAACGACATTAAAAGCCTCTTGCTGAGTGCTATCATGGCAAGTAGCTAGAATTGGCAGGAAGCCTGTTAGTGGATGTCGGAGTTCTTGTTCAATATTTATAGTTGAAATCTTGGCGTATGAGCGGAAGCTATGCCCTACATGTTTACCAAACTTTAATCAATGTCTCTTCTCAAAAACACGTTAAATCCACTCGCGCTGAAGCAAACACAACTGTAACACGAGGACTAAATGGTCGATTATGGTAGCACCTCTGTTCCATATCAAAATGATAAAAATTAGCCTACTGATTTGGCAAGCTTATTAGCCAGGTAATGTGTTAGAAATTCGGCCGTTTTATTCAAAAGCATTTAACAATTACGCAATCATCTGTTGATAGCCAAATTTCAATCCCTATTGAAGTGCTTCAATGTGTGCGGTTTTGCTAGGTTACAACCAGAATTAATCAATGTCGGCGGATTCCGTCGAGTGTACTGAGCGTCGACGAACTTGTGAGATTTATGATGCAGTTCGTGTGGGCAAAGGCATTGTTGGTAAAATGCACTCACATCACTGCAAGTTCTTGCACTTTCTAACACACCTCTTCGATTCCAGCCAACGTGAAAACACGATAGTCACATGGGAACTAATTGTCTACGTGAGATTACAAATTATTTTTCCATAATTGCGATTATAACACTAGCAACTCTTGAATCAAAAAGGTGGATGTTGGGTTCCAAAATGTTCTTTCACGGCTTTTTTCAGAGTGCTATATATGTGACATTTGCAGTAACTAATTAGATTTGCGAACTTACCCAGTTCTTTAATGTGAAAGTGTATTAATGAGAAAGCATAAAACAACGTAACGATGGTTGTGCTTAAGTCCAAACATTGTGCACTAGAATATATTACCGCATTTCAGTCTGTTTTTGTTGTGTTAAAGGTCAACACTTATTGACATTTCATGTTTCTTTGCAATTTCTTGTTTATTTTTTTAACAATTTGCTGTCTCGTATACAACAAGCATTAAAATACGCAATGTTCGGTTGAGTTAAGCCGAGCTAATTACACGATGATCAAGACAATGTCTGACATTTCAGTAAATGAAACATGCTTCGTACAATTGTGCAGGGATAGCAGATCGGAAGAGAGTCCTAGGTTGTGGAAAAACAGATGGTCACAAAATTTCATCAACTTTCTAAGGAGTGATGAGACTAATAACACAGCACAAATTTTGGAAGCTTGTGCATCCACCAAATATTAGTTGCAGCTTAGGTGAACATTACTTGCTGATATTTATATAAGGGTGTTCAACAAATGACTCGGTGGTAGACATATGGATGCTTTCTCACGTAGTTCTCTGCCATTCATTACTAAATTAAGGTATTTGGTATTGGTCGGTGCTGTGTTAGTGAATATTCCACTTCGTATTTCCAATTCGAAATAGTTCATTAGTAGAATTCATCCAAAATTCAAATTCCAAATACATATGAATTGCACTGAAATTTAGCGTTGGCTGGTCTGTAGGTAAGGATAGGAGGGGGTGAAATTAATACCGTACTACAAATTTATGGAAATGTTACTGCTACATGGTTGTGTTAAGCACCACTAAGTAAAATGTTTTCAGCGTACTTGGCGACACAACATGATTCCATTTACAGAACCTATTTGGCTGAGATTGAGCTAACATAGCCGTAACTTTAGCAATTGCTTGGTGATAAAATTATAGTCTCACGCGCTAGACGAGGTCTATTCATTACATTAACTTAAATGTGCCCCATATTAAAATGATATTGGACTGACTAGAGTGTTCATTTATAGCACTAATGGAAGGCAGCATCTTGATAACACTAATAAAATAAATCAGCTACTATTATTATTCATTATCCATGTGTTACGTTTGCCCGTAACAAAGAGAAAACCACTCAATAACAGTACCAAATCCCTTGTTAAAGTTAGCACCGACCTTTCCACACTGATACAAGAACAAGACCAGAGCTCGTGGAGGGAGCTTTAATCACGTCAGTCACGAGCGGAGGGGGTTGTTAAAAGTTAAACTAATTCGGGTCAAGGTTGACCTTAACATAACAAAAAAAACGTAATAAAACACATGTTAGTGAATTAGTGTAAATATAACCAGACACCATCGACGAGCAATCTTGGGGAATCGTGGATCCCCAACAACGTGCCAACACTACAGAGAAGTATTGTCGTAACTTTAGGGCAGGCCCTTTGACGATGTTATATTCCTTTTACTTCAAGTGTGTACCGGGACAGTAAAGACAGTAATTGACACGAATTTAAGCCTGCATTACCGTCAATGTTTACATGTTGGCATGCAGGAACACGTGTAATGAATATCAGTAGGACCAGTTGTGATACATCCAAAGATCAAAACCTGTCATGTGTTAGAAGAATACTGCTAGCCTCAGGGACATGAGACCAATCCTAACTTATTAATTGTGACTTCTGGAGAAGTACGCGTATTCTAGATGTCTCTACGAAAGGCACATAATTGGTTTTGCCATCACTAACACTGTGCCGACTGAAAACGAATTTACGCCAACTTGCTAGAGTAGAGTACAAGTTTCAGTGTCTAAGCGAGTGAGTGTCAATGGAGTTCGTCATGTGGTTTTGCGTGGGTAGCAGAGTATGTCACGTAGAACGCCCTTTCAAGTAACGCACTAGGTCACATCATGTGGGATGATGCCAGGTAGGGATTTACCAAACACCACAGCATCTTTGATAATTCGCGCCAAGTTCACTCGTCTTCTCAATTTTCAAATCATGGCCCATTTCTCCACAGATGTATTAAATTGTACTGTCGATTTCAAAATTAACGCAAACTAATGTATCTTTAATGTCATGAGTTTCGACATAAATTTAAAAAAAGAACAATTCAGCATTTTGGCGTTCCCGAGCACATTTTGTGACGATAAGGCATTACCCGCACTAGTTGACGCAAGTGGCCTTTTTATCTCATCGCGGAGTTACTTTAATAGATTTGCTTGAACTTCATATGACATAGCCCAAATCTGTCAGGTGTGAGCAGCACTTGATTGAGCGAACCTATTTGCCAAGTCGTTCATCCTATCTTGAAATTCTGGTAATTGTTTGAATCAATTGTGTCAAGAAGCCTTCACAACCACCTTACGTAGACCATGTTAGAGTTGCCTACACGTATGAGAGCAATGACCCTACCGCAAACCCAAGTAACTGTAGCAGCTTGAATTTAGACCAACCTAGCAACCCTAAAGTTAACAGCCTGCAACAGCTAGAGAAGGAGAGAACAGGAGGATACGACTGTTTATTAAAGAACGCGTGCGTAACAGGCAAATGCTGACGGAGGCCAATAACAATAGGATGAGTGATTGGTGTACTCGGGCCACCATACACACTACTGCAAATACTACCCCCAAAGAGTGTTAGCTGTGAAACAGTAAACGCTCGAAAACTACCAAACGGAATCAGCAAAGTGAAAAACAGCTCTGGGGGTCGGCTAAAACGGAGGTTGAGCAGGATTGGAATATGGGAGATTGTAGAGTGAGTTCTTCAATGCTTGAGCATGTGGATGTAACATTGATGTCTTCCTTATAAGCAGTTTTGAGACAGTCTATGCTCACAGTATCCAGTGAACCGAAAAGTTTTCCAGTGCGTTCTGCCACCTTAAAGGGGCCATCAAAGGATGGTTGCAAGGGTTTTTTGCACCATCAACGCAAACAAATACTTGAGAAGTGAGCAAATTTGGTTGAATCTGTGGTTATCCTGGGAACATTCTTGTAGGGGTATGAACACATCTGGCTGGCCTGTGCGCAAATGTACCGTCATTTTAGATTCTTGTGAGTTACCATGGGTCTTTAGCTAGCCAAGTTTAACATTAATGCAGCCAAGCCTGTAGTGGCACAAATATCGAAGCTGGTATTGTAAAAATCAGGAAATTTTTAAAATGTGTGTTCAGTTTTAATTCAATGAAGTGAAATTCAGTTTGGTAATTTTAGGTTTTATCTACATCAAACCTTAAACTTAGCAATGCATCAACGACTTTAACATTCACTGAATCATTGGTTCAGACAAATATGGTTGAGTAGGTAGCATGAAGCGTGTCAACTACCAATATTTTTCATAAAATTAAGTCCGTTTTGAGGTATAAAATATGAGTACCAAAACTTATGTTCATTAACCAGCACATCAACTGACCTAAGCGTTTGGTGGACTCTCAGGTATTGAGCAATAATGGAACTGGTTTATCAGT